ATCCCAAAAATCTATGTTCAGGAAAAAATTCTGAAAGTACGCTGCAGGCATGAAATCCCTGCAGAGAAGTAGAGCAAGCAGAAATGGTGAAAAGTAATAGAAATTGATCAGATAAACTCAGGCAATGCCAATGCTGGTGTATATATGATGACTGTAAAGGTACATGACCTTTATGTTTTTGGAGACTGAGTAATAGTATTGCTTTACTCTTCAGTAAGAATATTTTCGCTGACATTTCAATCACAGAATTTAATGTAATGATTTCTCTGGCCCAACACTCTGATTTTATGCTCTAGAGAACAATGCTAACTAATGTTGGAGCAAGCTCTAGGATTCACGTCTCCTCATGCTCCTAGAAGTCAGCTATCTGAGGCAGCAAGAGGGGCCTGGATGGTTGGCTTTAGTTAGGAAGGGGGAGCTCAGGAGACTTAACCAATTTATAGCTAGTTCTGGGGGTGAGGTGCTGCTGCAGACAGAGTGGGGGCCGCTGCTAGAGAGGAGAAGAACACTGAGCATTTCCTGGGTGTGGGACTGGGACAAGGACAAGGACTGGCTGAGATAGGCAGCTCTCATTGTTGCAGACAAATGTAGCATCTACTATCCACCAGGTCTCTAACCTGGACCAGGCTTTGTGCCTGGTCTTACTCCTCATAGCAATCTCTGGACATAAGTGTTATTACCCTTATTTTGCCAGGAGGTGTTAAATAATTTGCTGAGGAGCACAGCACTAGGGTTGTATGAAAGGAGAGAAGGTTAGCACTTCCCTTGATAAAGATGGAAGAGGCCCTCAGGCCTGACAACCCACATACAGTTAAGGCACTGCCATCTACTTGGAGGCATTTAACTACTGTTTTTTGGTATCTGTCATTTAAGTGAGGCGAAGTACAACCAAAGAAAGTGATAAAGGATGGATAGAAAGGTACAAGGTGATGGATCTCTTGCAATAGGGAAGTGGTCTAAGGGAACAAGACAAGGGGAGAGGAGGAGGGGATGGGGAAATAAGGACAGAGATATGCCATGTACAGGAACCTAATAACCCCAACTAATGTAAAGATTATAGGCCATAACACAATCTATGACAACATTACCAGGAATGAAAAACGGGATAGAGGAACTGGAGTTGGAGGGAGGGGGGAGGGAGGGAAAGGGAAGGGGAATAACAAAAAGAAAGAAATATGCTGTAATATGTACATGTAACCATGACGACTATAAACTACATAAACTGCAAACAGGTACAAATGAAATAAAATTTTAAAAACACATATGAGAATTGGGGAAAAAAAGACAACAGCCTAGAGTTGAGATCAGAGGGCTTGAGTTTGTATTCTTGCTCTGTGATTTATCACCGGTGAAAGCTCAGGGAAGCCCCAAGATCTCTTAACTTCATCTTTTTAATTTCCAAACTAGGAATAATACTGAAAACTACGGGATTTTTGTGAGGATTACATGTCTTTTGTAAAAACATTAATGCTATGAACTCAATACTGGTTGCATTTCAAAGGTCATTGTGTTTTAGCTTGGTTTTGAATCATTCAATGACCTTCAAATTATAGAGGCTTTACAAACATTTGTTTAACTTACTTCAAAACACTAGTGTATTCTGTCACTGTGTTCATGGGGTGTTTTATTCACAGAGCACTGGAGAGCCATCCATTTATCCATTCAAAAACAAACATTACCTAAGTACCAACTTGGCGGCAGGCATCATGCTAGGTGCTTTCGATAGGCAAATAAGTAAAACAAGTACTTGAACTCCAGGAGCTCAAAGTCTAATGAGAGGTACATAAAATTCAGTTATAATCTTAACTGAAGCATCATTAGTTACACACTAAAAAGCAGTGCACTTAACACCTGTTTTTCTGGCTGGCTTGAATCCCTTCTTAGGTTGTATCCTCTTCTTCAGGTGCATTGTTTTTGTTCCCACTACAAAGCTAATAAGGTGCTGATGAGTGTCATTAATTATGGCATCCCACTCTCAGGTCCAAGCAGGCGCCTCGACTCAGCCTGGGTACATCCGTGTATCCTCCCCGTCTCCATGATGCATAGAGGAGCTAAGCCAGGCCATGCTCCTTCTGGGATTAATAGAAAGAGCTTGCTTCCCCTCTCTGGTTTCAAGTAGATATAGATGCAAACATGGTGAAGTCAGCATTTGTAGTTTCTGTCTCAGGAAGCTAGTGGCTTGAGAGAGAGTTCCTGATTTGGTCCGACACTTCGAATGCAGTCATCCTAAGGCCTAGTCACTATGTAGTTTGGTAACATGAATGAATAAATCCAGTTTGTTACTTAAGTTGCTTCAGCTGGACTCCCAAGACTGCAAGCCAAATGTCCTGGTTAATAGAGGAAAATCATTCAGTGATACGGACATACAGACAAGGAAGACATGGTGTGGGCTTCTGCAGATGGGAGAAAAGAGAGGCTTCAAGGATGAGGTTATGCTTGCAAAGGCTCAGAAGTTTATCAGGGGAACACACTTCAGAAAAGCCTTTTGCTGAAGTGGAAAGGTCCCTAAGTCCTTTAGGGTCTTCATAGATGCTGGGATAATCAGAAGAGAGGGTGGACAGCCTAAGTTCAAGATGCATCTTGCTAAGGAGTTTGGATATTTTTTAAGCCAAAGGTAATCACAAACAGTTTTAATGCATAAAAGTGACATGATTGCATCACAATGCAGAAAGACCAACACAAGTCAGAAGTATGGGGAATCACTGGTTGCGTGGGCCAATCTAAGATCAGTGGATAGGAAGGACTCTGTTGCCCCAGTTCTGATGAGGCATGAAGAGGAGCCAAGCATGCCCTGGCTGCACCACATCTGGCCACGTGACATGCATCTAGGACACGATGGGTAGTCCAGCCAATACCCCAATCCACGACCAGACCGAGAGGAAAATTCTGCTGTGCTAGGGTTACCACCTAGAAAGCAACAGGATTTTCTGCTCTTTTAAACAGTAACATTAATGATGTTCTGTGCTTAATAGCACTTAAGCCATGATTCTCTGTGTACATTATGTAATCCATCCATTTAACATCCGGACCAGTTCCTAGGGAACATTTTCCAGCTAGATACTTTCCTTTCAGCTTCTTCAGGAAGATCAAAGTCTCAGGGCTGCCCTTCCAGGGCCTTCGCTGACACTTTCCTAGAATTATTCACACCTTTCTGTTAGAAATTTTCAGACTTTCATTTGGATGTTATTCTCAAAGATGAAGGGTGGCCTTCCCTCAACATTTCATTATTTATTCAATTATTCTTTAGATATATTTTGAGCAGTGACCATGTATTAGAAACTGACCAGAACACTGTGAGAACACTATATTTAGAGGTAAAGAATACAGGTTTATGTCTTTGCCCTTCCTAGAATTGTGTCTGATTGGTAACAGCAATAACAATGATAAAGAAGTTGGTGATAATGTAATAAATAGCATTAACTTGCACAGTGCTTCTTTGTATCAGAACCTGTTCCGAAGCCCATACAGCAGTGGCTTAGTAAATGCTCACTGAATGAATATATTTGCAATCTGCTGTGTGTAGCAGACGTCACGATACGTGTCTTAAGCATATTGGTGCTCTCTACTTAGGTGGGATTTCTGTGCCTGAGCCCAAATTCACCCCAGCTCTGCTTCTCCTTCTTAAGTTTCACATGTTCAGATGCATTCAGTTCTTTATGATTTCAAAATACAGAGGCCTCATCTCTGAGGACACTCAGAGCTGCAGTCAAAAGCACAATTACAATAAAATAAAATTATTCCTGCAAAAGATAATACATGCAGGACAGGCTACCAGATTACAACTCCTGAATTTCTCCCTCTGCTGTTTCCCATAATTGCCCACTTTTGGCCCCCTAGTTTCTGATCTGACTCTATTTGCCTTGCCCAACCTCAGTGGATAATGATAATTAAATTGTGTTGCTCATTAAGCATTAATTAAAAAACACAAGTTGCCATCCATGTAGGGTGTGTGTGTAAAATGGTAGTTTATTGTATATAATAGTGCAGCTAATTTATTTCATGACTTCCAACATGGACTAAGAGGAGAAGCTCTGCAGACCTCTTAACTTTGGAGATTAAATGAAAAATATTTGTGGAAAGGGTTCAGCCTGACATTTTTAAGTGTAAAGAAACTGTTATGCTGGAGAGATATGCAAAGATTTTATGGGGTATATAGGATAATAATGATACCATGTACCCCATTTTCCATTTTATAAAGCACTTTCAAATGCATTTTCTCGTTTGATCCTCAAAACACCCCATTAGGCTATTATCTCAATTCACAGGTGACGACACTGAGACTCAGAAACTTTAAATGGATTTTTTCAGGCTTCTCTATTATTATATGGGGGAGCTGGCACTCAAGGCAGCTCTTTTAACTACACATTTTGTGACTCTATTATCCTACCATCCCCAGACTGTGAAATCCTGGAGCCAAAATGATTTCCCAAATACTACCTTTCAGAGCTGTATTTAATTGGTGGTGAATTGCCTCGGTACAGATCATGATTTATTCCTCTAAATTATGCTTGTTAGGTTATCAAAAGTGTCATATGAAAAAAGAAAAAGTTTTAAAGACAGACAGACCTGGGTTCAAATTCCACTTAATTGATAGCCACTTATTTTAATTCTTTAGGCTTTAGTTATGTCAGGTAAGTTATAGAAATACTAAAATCTATTACAATTAGCTTTTAGGGAGGAGAACAAATGACATTCTATGTACATATTATCTAGCCTAGACTAGATATCTAGTAGCTCTTCCAAAAACAAATACTAATCAATATCACAAAATTTCTGTTCTGTTTTCTTCTTGATTTTCTTTGGGACACATAAATTTTAAAAGTTGTATCATTTTGCAGAACCAAACACCGCGAGTCACCTGTGGCTCAATAATCATTTTGCCTTTTAATCTATTTATTCAATCATCAGTTCTACTCCTTTGTGACAGCGTGAACAACAGCAGCCAGTATTCCTTTTCTCACATGCTGTGCGTGACAGCATAAGCTCACCTATGTGACAGAGGGTAACCATGGGAACGGTTTTAGAGCCTACTGTGCTGAGAAGTTCAGAGACCTGGAAACTGCTGGGCTGATGACAGATCGGGGAGGAGGTGGGTACACAAACCGGAAAGACACAAAGGACATTTGTTATCAACTGTTCAAACATCAGGCAAATTGTTAGTACTGGATATGCAATGTTCTGGCTTAATGTGTTATGGAAAGTAGAAGCCCTTGACAGGTTAATTCTGCCAGGGAAGCAAATGTTATTTTTTATAAAATTGAGCCTGACTTTTAAATTCCCCATCCTTCCTTTTATCTTTGCTAATACTTATAGTTTGAAAATGGCTTTACCTCAGAAAGACACTTGTAAAAATGTAGCTGTCCCAGTTATTGAAGGGTAATGTGAAACATGGCAGTGCTAATCATTTATTTTAGTGTCAAATTTCCCCACAGGCATAAAATGTCTTTGCAACTGTGATTCCAGTTAATTAAATCATGAAGATAGCTAACAGTGTAGCCTACTTACCAAGTTTGCAACATATTTAGATGGGACCCTTGTGATTTTTTGTAAGCACTGCTCTTTAATAACCCTCTTTTTTGGGCAAAACAAAAGTGTCAGAAGTTTAAAGTAAACTGTTTCATGTGTCCCCCACCATCACCATGGCTCTGGTCACTACATGCAGGATTAATTAAAGACCAGAAGTTAAAAGAAATGCTTTGCTCAATGCTTAATTACAGATAATGGTTAAAAATTGAGTGCCTACTGGATAACTGGTGCTGAGGACAGGATGGTCAAGAAAAGAAATCTGGTCCATGTCCTAGGGGTATTTGGGATCTACAGAAGAAGAAAGGAAATAAGGTATTTCAAACAACTAAATACTTGTAAGTGGAAAAAGGATTTTCAAGAAGTACATAGTGATGACAGAGTTCCATGATGAAGATCTAATCTAGTCTAAGGCGGATTTAAGCTGAGATCTACAATCTATGGGACAGTAAGTGTTGATCTGATGATTAATTGTAGAAAGAACAGGATCCATGAAGAAGAATGTATATGAAGACTGGAGTCCGGGAGAAAGCACAAGATTTTTGAGAAACCAAAAATCACCAGGATGGCTGAAAGTGGAATTAGAACATGAGAAACAGTAGAATGTTCTAAAACAACATGAAATGTACTGCTAAGTGCAACAGGAATCTACTTATAAATTATAAAGCAGAAGAGTGAAATAACCAGATTTGCATTCTGTAATAGAAGTAAAAAGCTTGTGATGTTACCTGCTGGCTTCAGAATTCCTATTGGGGGAGCACTTTCTTGGGCAAATATTTGGTAATGAGCCACTTGAGATAGAAGGGAATGTGCTCATGGTGTGAGTAGAAGATCCTAGGCAAACAAACAAAAACAAAACACAAACAGCCAAACTAATATTCAAGTTACACAAAATGGCTTCGTTCCAGAAAGTATGGGGAAAGATATGAAGGAAAGGAATAGAAAACATGAAGAAGAGCCTACAAGATGGTGCGATGCTGGGAATTAGGACAGGCAGTCAGCCAATGGAAATATGCAGACGGTGAGGGAGCCCAAGGTCATTTGAAACTGGAAATGCCTAATGTTCCATCTGAAATGAGCATTTTTCATAGTAAACACTTCTCACTCTCCTGGAATCCCTATCCTTACTAAAGTCTGCTACCCTCACAAATGTGTAGCATGACTGGATCATCTGTGGAACATGCTGGAGGGACTGAGTTTCACATTGATAAGTTGGGGCACAGCAGCAGCATTTGTGGAAATTGATGCCTGAGGGAAGAGGAATTGGTGAGAATGAAAGATTCAGCCAAATTAGCAAAACTGCCAAAGGGGTTTTGACTTCCACCAAAGTGGAGTAGAGTTTAAGGTCAATTTTTTATTTAGATTTTAAGGGGCAGGCAGATCTTGCCGGTTATAACATGAGCTAGTTGGGAGCATGGGCAGAAGTGGGTATGATGGAAGTAGCTTAGGAGGGAAATGACGGTGCTGGAATCAGGGTGATGTCAGCAGAAATGTGGAGGGTGTAGCGCTCTGAATTTTGTGACTTGAGAATGGATTGGTTGTGGGCTGGTTGTGGTTGATTTTACATACACGCACACACACACACTCACACACACTTCACCATCAAAAACAGGAAACGCTGCAGGCAAGCAAACTTGGCAGGGAAGGAAGAGAGTGACAAGTACCATGAGTCTGTTCAGTTTGATACATAAGGAGTACGACTTGCCTCTGGGCATCCACATGCAGATGCCAAATAGGATGTTCAATATATGCATCCTGAATTCAAAAGAGAGACTTGGGCCTAGTATTTGGAAGTGTTAGACTTAAAGGTGGCTGAAGCTATGGGAATCAAGAAGATTGAAGCCTGGCATGCAGGTAGAGCTTCCTTTTTATTAAGAGCCTACTTTTATTAAGCGCTTTTTAGGCTTTATGGCAAAAGAATGCCTACCTTACAAAGTTGTTGTGAGATTAAAATGAAAAGAAAATGTGCTTGCCGTATTTTTTGCTATGCACTTACTGTGCTTAATTTTGATGGTTTGAAAAAGTGGAAATTAGACTTAATGGCTCTTACTGGGAAAGCTCTTGTTAGAAGCATCTGGAAACCCTCCTGAATAACATAAAAGAAATCCAACAGACAATAAAACAAATCTAAATTTTCACCTGCAAAAGAATCCAAAATTAAACTATCATGCAATTTTATGATGTGCATTTTGTAAAGAACAATGATAGCTCAAATTTGCTGTTATTTAACTAGTGACAAGCATAATTGAATCAGAAATGTTACTTCTTATTTCCCATTAAAATAGTCTCTAAACTAGTCTCTCTTTCATGCCTTTCTCCCTTCTTCAAAATACTAGGTTATGAAAAGTAACAGGATTATGAAGTAACACGATCTTGGGAAAACAATAGGATTATGAAAGCTACAGGATTATGAAGGGAAATGAGCATCACCCTTTTGATAAAAAGTTCGTTTGCTTCTTAGAACAGGGGCATAGTCTATAGACTATTGGGGACTCGGATTTCTCAGCTGGAAAATGAAGTGAATATTTCTTTTAACAATATTTTTGTGACAACTACTGCTGTGTTTTGAATACATTTTGTCTCTTCTAGTACTCACATTGAAATTGCCATTATGGTGGTGTTCAGAAGTGGGGTGATTTAAGAGGAGATTAGGTCGTTAAGAGAGATTAATGGCTTTTTCATGGGAGTGAGAACTCGCTGTGCTGGGAGAGTGAGCATAAGAGGAGGCTGTTCTGTCTCTTCCATACCCCCCACTGGTCCTCTGCTTTCTTGCCTTGTTATGACATAGTATTCTGCCACCTGATCCTGGACTTCCAGCCTTCAGAACAAGAGGCAAATAAACTTTTGTCCTTGTTAATTGTCAAGTCTCAAGTATTTTGTTACATGAACAGAAACCTAACTATGATAACTATAGTGGATAATTTTTGTAAACTATCTAGTAGAGCTGGGTATTTCCTAAATATCCAATAAATACCTAACTCTGATCATCTGACCTTCCTAGATTTATTTATTACCAAATGCAAACTACATTCCTTACACTGTCACTCAAAATTCGTCACAATTTGTCCCCAGTGTTCCACTGCATCTTTTCTATGGCTCCTTCTCTGTCATAGACTCCAAGAACTCCATTAAACAGCCAAACTTGCTGTTCCTGAATGTCCCTGGTGCTTCTGTCTCCATGGTTCCTTCAAACTGAAATATCCTTTCTCTCACTTCAAATGTCTAACACTGTGTTACTATTGAAATGTCACCTTCTCTATACCACATTCATGACACTGTAGGAAGAAACAGCCTTTTACTTGCTATAGAATCTTACAGCCCTCTGTGGAATCCTGTCTCAGGACAGATTACTCTCTATGTGGGATCTTATAGTCTAGTAGCAGGCAGATTGCTGTTATAGTGAGAGGTAGAAAGAATTTAAAATGTCTTTTTGCTGTTACCGAAACCCTTTTATCCCCAAGTTAGGTATTTATAACATCTACTTAAATCTATATATAAAGAGGAAATATGTTCACATTTTTCAAATAAAAAAGTAGGACATTTTGCACTTTCATCTTCATTTTGCAATGTTAACTTTAAATTGTCACCAATGCACGAGTAATATGTTTAGCCAGCTCTGATGCTATTTTGAATTACAAGAGGGCTGGGACAACAATCTGATATTTATGTTTTCTAAATGAAGTTCAAAAATATCTTTGTCTTTGGGAACAGCTGTAAAAAGACAGTATGCAATTTACTGAACCAAGTGAAAGGATTCCATTCTTTGGAAGGATGAGGATTTATATAAATCATGCTCTGTGTATTTGGTGTTAAGAAAATATCATTACATTTACTTGACACACTGAACTTGCATTTCATGATTAAATATTTTCTTATAATACATATTATAGAAGGTGGAAACTAGAGATTTTGCATTGCTGAAATAATTTAAAAGAATAGTTTACCATTAAGTATTTGGATGGTAGCAAATCTAGTGGAAATGATAAATTTTTTTCACAGAAATATTTTAATCTCTTTTCACACATTTTTAAAATTATTTCAAAGCCTCTGTTTATAAAGACAGCTGTTTTTGGGCTGACTATGCCAATTTATAATAGTCTACACTATTTAGGTGAAACAAAATATCTCCATTTACAGAGTTTTCATTCAAGTCATAATAAGGACTTGCTAGAGTCATACATACTATCCTTTCAGCCATAGCTGAAGTCCAGATTTCTGAAACCAGGGTCAAGGACCTAGAATCTCAGAAATGTATCTTGAATACCCTTGAATTCCCTGAAGCATAACATTTGTAAACAACAGTAATTTTCTCTTTGCTAACTACTTTATTTTTATTTACTTCTCCTTGTGTAATATTCTCCTTCTTCCTTTCTACACCTATTCTCCCTCCCTTACTCCTTCCTCTCTGTATTTGCTTCTCATAGTTAGCTTCATGCCACTTTTGGTTAGTTTGGCTTATAAATTTCCTGGTACATTTACACCTCAAAGGAAAGAGAACCAGATCTTACTTATTATCTATCACAGAATCTGGCATCGTGATTTGCTATTTGGAACTTAAATATTTGTAAAATTAAAGCTATCTGCCCTATACTTATTGAGCCCTTAACTGCATTTTTTTAAAGTTGCTACCCGGCAATATTCCTCACGTGTCAAAGTATTTATTATTATAGCTGAATTTCTGGATCATTAAGGGAAAACACTATCATTGTATCATAGAAATAAAATAATACTTGGACAAACAAAGAAAGATAAGAAAATGCAGAAGTAAGTGGAGTGTAAGAGGGAATCATATGAAAAAGAAAGAAATGTAATGAATGAATAACTAGATAGGTGGGAGACAATGAAAAAAGCTTGTAAATTAAGAGTTAGAGCAATAGTGAACACAAACAGTGACAAAAACACTGATACTCTATCTTTGCTACTCATGACTCCTATCTGCATTATTATTTACTACTTGACAGAGAGAAAATCCAGCTGAACATTGATTAATATCTCACTTGTTTTCTTACCCATTGTTCACTCTCCTTTTATCATCTTTGACTAAGATGTAATTTGCCTCGGCTATATAATGTTGGGAGACTGTATCCTTGAAAACTCATAGGTAAACCATTAATAAATCATATGTTACTATGGAAACAAACAGAGATTGAATCATCTAACTGCCCACGCACTGGCTGTCCGATCACCTGGCAGAGAAGGCACTGTGGAAAGTCAAATACTAGACGGGAAATTGGACTTTAGGACCTTTTTCATTTCATAACTTTGAAGAGTTATGAATTAATAAAAGCTAAACCTATGAGTAATTTCTAAGAATATTAAGAGATACATGCCAGATTTCCTTTTAGGCCATAAGTATTCAGTATCTGTTTTCTTCAAAATGATGATTTCTCCCAAGACTTTTCCATTAGCTTAAGGTATGAGGAAACCGATCATGGACCATTTGCTGCCAGAATTTAGTAATACTTTATAATGATTAAAACTAATATTTTCCAAATATATGGGTACATTATTTGTAATAAACTGATTAATTATATGCACTTAGCACATAACAATATGATTCTCCATTTCATTAGCACGTTAAATACCATTAGCCTGATGCATTTGTTTAGTTGATTAATGTGTCTATTTTTCGTGTTTTCTATTTAGCATTCAAGTGTAAAAGACATTTTTAGCTATCAGGTAATTATAATTAAGCCCATACTGACTGCTATAATTAAAGAGAGAAAAGAGTGTTAACAATAGTAATAGCTAGCATATATTATGTGCTTAATATATGCCAGAGATTTTTCTAGGTGTTTCTAGATGAGTTATAACTCTTCCTTAAAAATCATGTTTAGAGCTATTATTATCTGATCAAAAACTGGGAAGTAGAAAACAAGGAATTCAAATAGAAGTAATTCAAACAATAATTTAAAGTGCTCATTTGATGTTAGCGACAAGAGCATGATTTGAACCAAAGAGACTGGTCTTGGCTCTTTCGAGGTTTAATTCCAAATAAGCAACATCAGTAATAAACAATGAGTATTATGACTAGATATACAGACTATTGTGATAGCAAGAATGCGTTATTAGTTTAGTGATGGTTATTAATTGAAAGATGAACAGGACTCAGCTGGTTAAAAGGGTGGTGTGGGTAGATATTTCAGGCAAGGAAATGGCAGTGTGCTAGGGACAGCACTTTTAGGGAAAAGGCAAGGCCTTACAAGTCATGTTTAGATATTTGGACATTTCTCTGGGCTGTTAGAATGTTCTACACATGAGATGTACACGGTCAGCTTTCTCTGGATAACAAAGGAACAAATGGTAGTGTGGAGCCTGAATTGGGGAAGGCAGGAGAGTGGGAAAGCAGAAAGCAAGAGATCAGTTAAAAAGCCCAGCTGTAGCAGTAACTGAAGCAAGACTAGGAAGCCACAGTGGCAAAGGTGATAAGGAAATTAGTGAGAGGAGTACAGTACTAAGGAAGCATCAAAAGGCCTGACAAGTATTCAGAACAGGAAGGGGCTTTGGAAAGCATATGATTGAAGCTTAATAGTGCAAGCAAGCAAGCCCAAGGCCCAGGGGAGGGAAGACCCCATCCAAGGCTATTTTAGAGGGAGATCTACTTAACTATAGGTTTTCTTCAACTCAGTCCAGTGATTCTCTGTTACAATTTCCAAACCTACAAATCAATTCGTGTATTTTTCCTCTTTGCCATAAGAAATGAAGTTTACTTAGGATTTTCTGTGCATGCTGCAAAGGTGCAAGGCAAACTGCGTACCTGAATAAATGTTGGACTAATGAGGCTATTTTTGTAAAAAGGTAATTGTTTTCCAGGAGGCAATAAAACATGGGCAGCTATACAATAATAATTGAGGACTTCAGTAATGGACAGATCTTCCAGACAGAAAAATCAATAAAAAAGCAGTGGCTATGAATAACACTATAGAACAAATGAAACTAACAGACATACACAAAACATTCTCCCACTTAACAGCAGGATATGATTTCTTCTCCAGTGACATGAATCTTCCTCTAGGATAAAACATATCTTCATTCATAAAGAAAAGCTTAATCAATTTGAGAATTTCTAAATCATTCAAGTAACAGGTATCTTATCTGACCATAGTGAAATGAAGTTAGATACCAGCGGCACACACACAAAAAATGGAAAATAAAAAAATTTTGTATAAATTAAACAATACAGTCTTAAATAACCAGAGTCAAAGAATTCAAAAAAGAAATTAGAAGAGATATTTAGATAAATGAAAACACAACCAA